AAGCCCAAGGGAAACGCAGCCATTTGAAGGATTCCACAACCATCTAGCAAAGTTGGCGTCACGGTGGACGCCAAAGTGAGGACTCGGCAACGTGTGAACTAGAGATTTGAACCAAAAGGGCTTCGGTCTCCATTTGGTTTTCCTAGCCAGGGTGAAAAGGGTGCCGTGAAAAAACACACACACACCGCCACAGACACACACTCATACAGACACAAACACACATCTACACCCACATTGATACCCACACCCACACCGCGACCTACACCCACATGCACAACCGCGCCCGTACGCACACGCACACGCGCATCTACACCTACGCTCACACCCGCACGCACACTCTCTCACACACACACCCACACCCACACACACACACACACACACCACACACACACCACACACACACACACACGCACCTACGCGCATGCGCTAACACACACACACACACACAAACAAACAAACAAACAAACAAACAAACAAACAAACAAACACACACACACACACACACACACACACACACACACACACACACACACACACACACACACACACACACACACACACACACACACACACACACACACACACACACACGCACGCACGCACACACACACACGCACACACCACACACACACACACACACCACACACACACACACCCACACCCACACCCACACCCACACCCACACACACACACACACGATTCGTCAGAACCAGACCTGGAGTTCCATTCCAAAAAAGTGAGCTTAAACTCCTTTCGGGAAAAAGATCCTGTTTTGTCCGCGCCTCGTTACTCGAGGAATGGTCATCGTGTGTCATCAGCAAGGATTGAGACGTGATGAAGGCCAGCAACGTCACAATGAAGTAGCCCTGTCCTGTGTAGGGTGGGGTTAGGGCTCCCCCCCCTCCCTGCACAGCATGTTTTTAAGAACTCTTCTAAGAACCCTGGGTTGGGCCTCTCCCTTCTAACAACCCTGCGTTGGGCCTTTCAACCAGCAGCGAGTGAGAAGGAAAACGGTCAAAACACTTTCCCATGTCTCAATGTTCACGTAGAATTTAAAGGGAACCATTGAATCGATCGGGCTCTCTCACACTTCCCCTTCGCCAGAAAACACGCTTGGCCCAAAACATCATGGCGAAAAACATCAGAAAAAAGAACAACACCGTGGGTAGCCGGTTTGACCGCTAGCAGCAAGGTGACTATCGCGTGGTGGAAACTGCTCGTCTCGTCCACGTGGAATGCATTCGCGGGGGCAAACCCTCTGACAAGAGTCCCGGCCCGATGCCCATTCAGTTTGCTCCGAGCAGGATGGTCACTAACCTTACAGGCCTTCCTGAAATCCCCTGAAGTTCAAACCACCATTAAAGCAAAGGGGGTTCATATAACCACCATTGTTTACCTATTGTCATCGTCCAAATTGGGACAACCTTTCTTTTATTGGGGGTTGAACCCTAGGGAATCCCTTTTAGAATTAAGGCCCGATGGTTCAAAGTCACATGCACTTAGCTAAGGGAGTCACCCTCCTTAAAACCAAGGCAGAAAAGGGTGGCTGCGAAGGGAACTGAGACCTGGGAAGAACCTTTCTTTACCCTAGGGTTCCTTAACCCCAATGAAGGAAAGCTTGACCCAATTTCAATGATGACAATCCTTGGTGGTTATATGAACCCAACCATTGTTTTACTAGTGTTTTGAATCCTACGGTTTAGGCTATTCCGAGCCACCCTGCGAAAACCATATGTCCAAGAGTGGGGCTATCTGAAACCTACAAGGGCGGCTTTGGGTTCCCACTGTGGCGGAATCACTTTGGCCCCCTGTTCCCCCCCCTTCTGGCCCAGGTTCGGCAGCCCGTGCCTTTGTCTAGTGTGATGCCAAATCCACTTGGCTGTGGGTCAAAACCAATGCTACCATTTTGGGGCAGGTGAGTTCACCCATTTTGGAACCTATTTTAGTGGGGATTGGGATGTTCACTGGGGACCCATGGCCACTTGTGGATTCCCCCAAGTGCAAACAGAGTGCCAGAATCGGTGGAATTCAGTTGGGGCACCTAACATGTTTGTCTGGAACTTGGGAGAATCTGCTCCGGCCACATCAGAAACCGAAGATGTGAACACCTGCCCCAACATGGGTTTAAAATAGGAAAGCTCCCCCAAATGGGCTTCAATCGTCCTCATGTGTTCCTTTACCAGTCCAAAAGCGGTCGGCAGTCCCGGCACAGTATGTTCGGGGTAGCCCTGGGATTTGCTAGCCTGGCATGCTCAAGATAAGTCTGGGGATCGGACAATGGGCTAAACCGAGGGCATCCTTGGATTTTGCTCACCTGGTATTATGGGAACCCTGGATGAATAAACCCTTGGTTGATTAATACGCGGATGCTCCATTTCAGAGCTGGTTTCGGGAATCAGCCCCAAATCCAACAGGTTGATTGATTCAGGGCTGTCACTACTCGGGGTCTTGGAGTTTGCTTCGAGTTAGCCAGCGGGAGAAGCAGTTGGGCAACGGGCTGTCGAGACTTGGCGCGGAAGGCGGATGGTAACTTGAAGTCAAACGACTCCTACCAGTCCGGTGCGACGAAAGCCTAAAACGTGTGCCAAGAACGGTGAAGGCAACCACTCATTTCTACCCCAGCTTCCATCCAAAAAGATGCTTGAGCATATCCCGTACTTAGTGACCCTTGTGCAAAAGCGGTTGAACGCCACAATCTCAATCAAGGTTCCCTTTTGTTCGGATCGACAACATCTTTCCAAGGCGCCGAGCAAAAAGTAATAAGTGGCAAAGCGGAACCAAATGGTGTCTGCCGCCAGCATGATGCAGGGATGGCTCGCAATCCTCACATGGCTGTGGGTCAAAAATAGCTACCCAAAATGGCAACCTGGTCAATGGAAACATAGACTAAAACCTGTGGTCCCCTGGTGGTTTAATGTTGACCCATACCCAAACGATCTGACCGTAAGCCAAAGCCACTGGGGCAAGCCTGGTGTATTATTCAGCCAACAAACATGGGGTCGGTGGTCCAAAATAGGGCGGCACGTCTCGGCAAGGACAAGGAACTGAGCTCAAAACGTCACAAACCAATGGAGGTGCGCAGGCGCCCTACCCTAAAAAGAAAGTTGGTTGAATGGATCTTTGGGTGCGGTGTTCCTGCTGGTTCCTTTAGCATCACAAAGAAACAGGGTACCAACACACGCCACCCATGGAAGGGAGGTACCAGGAATCCTTGCTGTAGGAAACGGCCGAAACGGCCGGGAAAATTGATATGTTGCCAGACAGGTTGCCGACGTCCAACTCCCATTCTGTCAGAACCGCACGTTGGCATGAAGTTGTTGGAAGGTTCAACCCATGGGAATCAAATGGGCTGCAGAAATGATGGACGATCATTCATCCAGATTCTAGGAATAGGACGAAAGACAGGTTCATCAGAATCAAATGAGAACCGCGGAACCGATAGAAAAATGTCAACTTGATGGGCGAGCAAAATGAAGAAGAAGAAGAAGCAGCTTAGAAAAAATAAGTGTTCAAGTTACACTGAACTGAGTTTAGACAAAACTTGGAAACGTTGTCACGGAAGGCGTGTTGAGAAATATAATATTCTTGTTTAGGGGTACATACTCAAGCCGGTTGGTCATTCAGGGAACCAATGCACCCTGTGAACAAAGAGCATCACTCCTCGAGACTTGAGGTCAACGTATATATATATATATGTATATATATATATATATCCCATATATATATATATATATACAATGATATGATTTCGGGTTTAATGAACACCGAAGGACAACAAAACATTTGTGCGCACGGAATTTTGCTCGACGAACCGATTGGAGAGTGTAAATCGGTGGCTCGCCCTTTCGGCTTTGCGCAGGTTGGACTTGTTTGCCTGCTTAGTCAACACACGGGGACAGAATTCACCATGTACTAGAGGGGTTATGGAAGGGCTGGGGTCCCCACAAACAGTGGCTTTCCTTTAGGTTTCTTTCAAAACGCCAGTATCCAAGGATTCAACTACATCCAATGACTTTGAGTGGAGGTACCGCATGACCTTTTTTTTGTTTATCTTCAAACACCATTCTCAAAGGATGGCGTTCAGCAAGCAAACCCCCAAACAAAGCAAACTCAGCCAAAATCGTGGGGCGAGAACTTATGGCCATGGGTCAAAATCCAAATCGTACCCCCAGTGAACATCCCAATCCCCAGTAAAATAAACTAAAGTGGGTGGTGCACCTATCCCAAAATGGTACCATTGGTTTTGAACCATGGCCTTATCAATTCAAAGGCCAGTTTGAAGGCGGGACGGGTCCCGCCACTTTCTCGGGTCGCAAAAATCTTCCGAGGAGCTTGGGATTGTCATACTCCACCAACCAGCCAATGGCAGGGCTAAACTTCCCGCGCAGGTCCTCGCTCGATCCGTACTTCAAACATTCGTGCCAGGTTGTACTAGGGAATTGGCCTCGGCCTCCAGCCTCTTTAGATTCTCAAATCCCCCAATCTTCTCGACCCACAATCAGTTCCCCTCGATTCACGTCGCGCGGTCGAAATTCATGCTCTAGGCAACCGTATGGCTGCCGCTTTGGGCTGGTAGTTTTGGCCCAACCAACCCCAGTCCCTGCTTCACCAGATCGCGGCCCGTTGCCCTTTCCCTGGGACTGTAAAACCTTCACTTGATCCCTTGCGCCTTACCCTTGAATTGCCTGAGCCGCGCGGCTCAGTGTCTAACCTCAACACCCATGTATGCGTCCCCCGCCCCCCAAACAAAAAGAAAAAGTTGTGTTCTTCTGGCTTCAAACCAAGGTGATTTAGGGCACCCTCCAAAGATACACACCCAACCCGCCCCTTACTCTTGACCCCAAACGCTGACCAAAATGCTGAGCTTGCCTTGCGGCTGCCCCCGAATCTTGGCACGCTACGCTGGCGAGCCCGTGGCTCTGTTGCTCTAAGCAGGTTGCTCGAAGCAAGTTGCTCTACGCAAATTGCTCCGTGCAACTAATCTTTTCAGCAGCTCCGAAGCCAAACCGCCACGCTATTTTTTGGCGCGTAGCGCCCCCGTGCCTCTTGAACATGCACCCACCGAACATCTTGAAAACCAACTCGCGGCACTTCAATGCTGACAGAATCACAACACGTCAAAGCCAACCACATTCAATCCGGCCAATAGTGACCGAGGCAAGCAAAGGGCAACGTTACTCCAAAACACGAACAATTTGAGGTTGGACCCCTCAACAGCCCTTGAGGTGGGACCCCAAGGGTGTGACAGAGGCTCATTCTTGGAGGTTTGGGCATGGACCCAGTCCCGATTTAAAATCTCGAAGGGTCGAATCTTGGAGCCCGACTCGCCGGGCAAAGCTGCTCGAAAGACTCTGAAGGGTAGACAAAGAAACGAGCGGAAAACGACAACGAAAGGAAACACGACCAATTGTCTACCCTTCTGAATTGATTACTGAAAGGTTTGGAGAAACTCAGGATACCGGATTCCCCCTACTCCAAGTTGACCTCTCGCAAAACAAGGAGCTATTTGCCTTGGAACACCCGACTCTGAAAAATAATGAAGAACCGCCGTCTTGGCCAAGGAACTTCTTTTTGGATGGCGCGACAGCTCAAACGAATGACGAGGACACCGTAACCAGTAATACCCAGCCAATACGTACAAGTAGGCACACATGTGCCAATTAAATGACTCTTACTCACTTTGCATGCCTGAAACGTGGAAAGGAAGCCCTGGTATCTTCCAATTCCCGCTTTTACATGCCGCAAAAGCAGCCCTACATCCATGCCGAATCGATCCACAGAACCACGAGAACCTCAAACCTCGCCTTGTGTTGCATGTAAATCTCTTTGGGAAACATGGGCTTCCACCCAAACAGCTTCCCGCGCCAAAACAATTGGTTTTTTGGGGTGTGCCGGATGACAATGAGGCCTGGAATCCTTGATGAAAGTGTGGATGACCGCCAGCCGAACCCAGTGTTGGCACCGGGACGATTGCAGAGATTTCTGCGGGCCGATGACGTTACCCAGCAGGAACCCCCCGAACAGCTCAATCCAGGCTTTGCATTTTTGCAAAGCGGGCTTCGCCAGACCCCATGTTCAACTTGTTGTCTTTTCTTGCGGTAAAACATTCGGATCGGGCAAGCTTGGAAGCTGCCAACTCGAAATCTCGGGTTTTGGAACCAGCCCAGTCCTTCAGTGGCCTCTTCCCGTCTTTCCAATCCCCTTGGCGGTCTCCCCAAAGGTGTCAACCAAACAAGGCCTTCCCCCTTGTGCACCGGTTTTATCCGGTTTTCATAGAAAAGTCCCAGGGTTCAGGAGCTCCAAGACCGATTCCTGTTGACCTGTGCCCCTAATCAAATAAAGAGGATGGGAGAGGTGTTAGAGACTCTTTTCGCAACCCAAGGGAAACTCAAACTCCTGCAGTCGTTTGACGCTGGCTCATGTATCTGCGGTCCGAAATGCCCGTTTGTTGCTGTGATTCTTGGCGACATTCCTGATCCACTTGGTTTCAAGGCCAAGCAAAGGGTCCTTGCTTCCCGCAATCAAATGTACACATCCGCCTGACCGCCTGACCGCCTGTTGTCAAGGGATCCTACCAGCGGTCTGGCCCGGAACCCCCTCTCCTGGATCAGGTGTTTGACATAGTAGTTCACCCGTCGCAGTCCATGGTTCGTCAGCCGCGAACGCCACACCAAGCCGTCCAAGAGCGTCTCCAAAAGAGTCGGCGCACCTCAACCGGAGAATGGGAACGTGAAACATAGGTGTCTCTTTCTTTACGTGTCTTTTCCATCTGTCCGGGAATTCCTCGCTCGCTGCATGTGTGTGCAAAAACCTGCGTTTTACCATGCTTTTGCAAGGTGCTTTCTGCGTCGAGCGTGTTGTTTTTTAAACCTTTTCTGGGCCAAAAAAAGACGGCTATTTCTCCGCTTCTCCTTGCTTGCTTACTGCTTGCGTGTTTCGCGCTTGGACCTGCCTCGGGGATGCTGTCCCCCCTTTGGTTGGCTGTTTAAAGGGAAAGCAACAGGAAACCAGCCATTTTGTGGGCTTCCACTTTGAGACAAACCCCAAAATCCAAAAGAATGCCCTTTGTTCATGGTCATCTGGGGCCGTTGGATAGTTGAAAGAGCAGCACGTAATTGGTATAGGGTACGGGTAAAGTCACTTCTCCATGTGCGTTGACAGCGAGTGTGGTCTAAACTCCTAATGCAGGCCACGGCCATTCGCTTCAAGAAACGGGTCTTCAAAGGGCACTCTCCAGCTGCCATGTTCAGTCCGAGGGACCCGTCCGTGACCATCCCTCCAACCGAAAGGATGATTTTGACCATGACATGCATTCATGACACACATCGACAAGTATTACTATATATATATATATATATATAATTGATAGGGATCTCCAAGTCAAGTACCTATATCTGAGAGAGTGTGTGTTACCCCCCCGAATCGGTGAGCTTGCCAGATAAACGAGGCAGAAACACGCAGGACATGCCAATGTGTGCCATTGTCAGACAGCATCAAGTACTCAGATCGTGCGTCCCGGTATAAGTATCGTCCTGGGCACTTTGACAAAGACGCTTGATGATGTCGGGATGTCTGGTGAAAAGCTCATCGCAGCCGTAGTAATACACGTCGCGATCTGCACGAATTGTCAACAGGTCCTGTCGACAATGGCTGAATTCTACTTTGCCCAAACTCAAACATAGCTGGCGGCACATAGGGTAGCAGCACTCCAAAATCAACATGAATCCAACTCATTTGAGCGGAGGTCAAGAAACACTCCTTTCTCTCTTGACATGATTCCATGGTTCCCTTTAAAGCCTTTAAACCTTCCATGTGACTGAATGCCCTAGGCCACCTTCCGCAAGCCTCTGAATCAAAATGAGAACCGCTCGAGACCCGCGAGCGGAGATCGTCCGCTGCCTTTGCACAAGGTCGCCATTTTGCGGAGCTACTTAGTTTGAGCCTCAGCCGGTTCAGCCTTGGCATCATCATGTTGGCAAAAAAATCGGGCTTCATGCGTGGTTCACGACTGGCTTGGTCTTGCGTTCATGGGATGAGATGTTTGCCGGGTTCCTGCGCTGTTCATCTTGGCTTCGTCTTATCCGGAGCTTCCCAGACTGGGCCTCGGCTTCCGACTGGGGAAACCTTCCGCGTCCTGGAACATGGCCTTGGCGCTGTTCAGGCTCCCCGAGTCAATGGCCCAGAAGAGGGGCGAGAATGACTGGGTGCCCACCTGATGCAAATGAGTCGAGTCGGTTTTGTCCAACCGGAGTCCAACTGGGGGGGGGGTGATGTGGGTGTGTCTCTTTGTTTTTTCTTTCTGGAGGACCCTTTTGCGGTGGACGTTTTGGAAGGGAAACGAAAAGAAACACCAGTTTGGGGGTTCTCTAAAAAAAATAAAACCCTCATGTGCATTTCACTCAGGGGTCTTTATTTCCCTTAGCACAACAGGGGGCCCCCAAACAGACACACCCTTATTTAGCCCCCAATTCCCGACAGCCCCACACATGCAAAGCGTAGATCGCTGCTCGCCTTTGCTTCTCAGTTGACTCAAGGAAAACCAACAGGTCAAAAGGTTGGCCTTGGGCAAGTGAGGTCTACATCAATTTGGATACCCTGCTGGTTCACCCGGCCAGTCATGGCGAAGTTGGCCCATCCATATCGCTATGACGGTTGAGATCCACCCAGCAAAAGGCGATCTTTAGATGACTTCGACCAGCGAAGATCCCGAAATCCGAAAAGGCATACCGAAGTGGATTCCCCCTACCGAGCCCAAGAGAAAATAGAACACAACGAGTACATGTTCCTCACAAAGATCCACCAACCTGAGCGAGTGGGTAGGTGTGACGTTTTGTCAGGGTACCCTTGTTGAGTTGGTTGTGAGAAAAGGAAACCAACATGAAATACAACATGTTGAGTTGCAGGGGTCCTCCTATTTTGGCTCACTGCGATTGTGCGGCTGAGAGCCTGCAGAGTGGGATAATTACATTAAGCCGAGTGTTGCGTAAATTGGGCGAAGGGAATGGTTTTTCCTCAAACCTGGCAACGGGGTGAATTCCAGTGGTGTCGGATATCCGCAAAACTACTTGGATTGAGCAAGAAGTGTCGGGGCCCTAGCTCTCCAAAGAAACCCAGAGCAAAACTCGCTAAGAAATCCGAGGCTCCAAATGCCGAGGTACGTTGACCCCTACCCCGCCAAAACAAACACAACAACAACAAACCAAAAACAAAAACAATGGGTTCCAAGGAAGCCTCGGAACCCACTCCCGAAACCGACTCCATGGATCGGACACGACCAATTACGTCTCGCGGATTCGACGCGCGCGCCGTGATGTTCAGCAGCTGAATGATCCTCTGACCTCTGGGTGCCACCGCGATGGCTCGCTTCAGCGCCGCCTAAGAACTGAGCCGACACACGCGCTTTGCAAAACATGCGCGCACACACACACACACGCACCCACACGCATGTGGGTGCGTGTGTCTGTGTGTGTGTGTGTGTCAGCGTTTTTGGAGGGCATTTGGTTGGGATTTAACAAGGGCAATCCACAAACCAAATTTTGTTGACCGAATTCGAGACATACCCATGCGCCACGGTCAAGACTTAGGCCTTGGCCATGGCTACAACAATTTAATTATCCAAGTGGTCCATGGCGGTCCCTAATTACCGACCCCAAGCAATCGGATCTTCTGGTGGCATGCCGTGGCTTAGACTGCTCAACCAGCCAATCAACTCGATGGTCAAAGGCAAATGGAGCACCCACAAGAAGCAGTGTTGCAACCACCTTGTTGCATATCCGTGACTGTTTTTTGCGTCACCTTGCTTTAAAAAATTGCTTTAAATATAGTCGGTGTTGTCCAAATCGGCCAAGAAGGGAGTTCACCATAGCTTGACTGTTCTTCCCGCATTGACAGTGTGTGGGCATGGTCGGCGAGACATTCAATTTTGGATGACACCCGCAGGTTCGGCCGCGTTGAACCAAACTTGCAGCACGGGCGCGCAGTGGAGGTGCCTTTTTTCCGAAACAAACACTGAAATTCCAAATGATGCTGTTGTCTCGGCTTATTTGGGTTGATGTGTTTTTCATGATTGGGTTCTCCAGGTAGCGGTTACTTCGCTCGCGCAACCCGTCGGACTTTCGGGCGGTCGACCCCAAAAAACTCGTGCTTTGCCCCGAACGCTCTCCGAGCTCGCTCCGGGAGCCCTCCGCTCAGGCGAACTTTCGAGCTGAAGGAACTCCAACACGTGTAACACGTTAGACTATATCCCCGCCACGCGAGCACGCGCTTTCTTTCTCTTTTTTCTCCATGCATGCTTACTTTGCTCTTGCCCTCTGTCGAAGACCTAGCTTTCAATTCGTGTGCGCACCTCGGAGTTGCTTCCAAACTTCCTTTGCTGAGCAAGCCAACCAACTAAGACCAAACCAAACGCAAGCAAGCCCTAAATCCACTTGGGGTCGGCAGGGTTCCCAAGATGCCAAACCGTCTAGCTCGCCCAAGCCAACCCTAAGCCGACCGCAAACCAAGCCTAAACCATCCTAAGCCAACCGCCAGCCCCCACCATTCAAAAGGGGGAGGGGTCCGTGGGGATGTGGAAAAAGCCTTTCACTAGACACAAATAGGTCGGGTCGGGCGTTTCCGACAGCACCCACAAAATCTAAACCCTCAAGCTAGCCCACCAAAATCTAAACCCTCAAGCTAGCCTGTACAGTGGGCTCCATCATGGAGTGATTCTCATTTTAAAGGGCAGCGGTCCAAGAAGGCTCCGACCCAACTTCCGCAGGGTTCAGCTGGCCGCCTCCTCGTTGAGGTTGATGGCTTTCATGACGATAGTGGAGCCTGCGAAGGACGGTCCCACGAATGGAGCCCATTCCGAATACGTCCAGCGAGGGTCGTTGCAAGGTTGCCAGTTGCAGCTCAGGCCAATTGCAGGGGGCCATTGCACGTTATGGGTCTCTGGCATTGTTCTTTTCTTTGCAGCAGAGGAAAAATGAAGGAAACCCAGGCTGACCGAACCTCATGTGAATCCGTTTTGTGGATCCGTCCTGACCGCGGAATTGTTAAACCGTATGACTTGAAAGGCCAATCCGCGACCGCAAGAAAGTCCGCAGAAGGCTCACCATTTTGGGAAAACAAAAAACAACCTTCACGGCAACACCCGCACTGTTCACTGTTCCACCGGCAGAACGCCCACGAAGGGTTATTGTTTGACATTTGCAGCTCTCTGCATCGTGCCGTGTCAATAGGAAAAGTGGGAGAACAAAGGCCGATTCCACTCTCACAGAAAGTTCGCACAGGGTTCACACTTTGAATGTTTGCAACTCACACATCTTGCCGCGTCACTGCATTTTACTCCAAACCTGTGACATCGCGCTTTTTCTCGACTTGCGACTACAGCGTCCCCTTCCTAACTCGTACGCACGTGCTCATACCCTATCTCCATTCAACTTGTTCGTATGACGGAAGCTTTGCAACTCTTCTTCCCTTGGTCGCTGTATTTGCAGTAGACCTTCTTCGAGAGCGTAAGAAAGAAATGGGATCCCCAACTTTTTTGATCCCCTATTCATCAACCAACCTGTTTATTTCTTGGGGGGTGTCCATTGAGATGCGGTTCGAATCAGACCACTTTCGGAGGGGCCAAAAACCCCTGAACCCCCCTGATCTGTTCGCGGACTGTGCCTTCCAGCACGACCCTTGCCAGGATCTTGGAAATCAACGTCAATGCCCAGGAATAGGACGTGATCGTCATTTCCTCATCGATGTCTCCCAAACATCCATGGAGAAAATCACCCAAAAAAAGCAGGGGATGGACAACTACCTTGGCGATGTCTCCTTGAGGTTGCGTTTGGACAGCCAAAAGGAAAGTTTCCCCAGTTAGGACTTCTACACGCCACGCCAAAGGCAACAAACGAAAGACCTGCGCAAAAAACACAGGGGATGGCAGTCCTCAAATCATAAGGTTTGTGCGGGATCAAATCCTGAATGAAACAGTACCAGCACACAGAACCAAGCAGGCCACATGAAAACGGCTAAGAAAATCATCCAGACGGGAGAAGGAACCCCTATTCACATCTCCTGAAATCCGTGGGAAACACAAAGCGACAGTTGGAGACCTTGAGAAAGGCAATCGCGAATAGTATGGCATGCAAACAAAAACTGATCCTTGGTTCCTGAAGATCATAAAGGATACCGTCCCACCAATTAACCTGGAACCTGACGGTCGGGGGGTCCTGGAAGACCATTTTCCTTTTAATGGGAGCCCCTGTCAGGTCAAACAGCTACGGGCATTTTATGCCTCAGCCTGATTGGGCGAACACGGCGCGTTCGGATAGGGAGAGGGGGGTTGGGATATTAATATTCATTGAGGAAGGGGCACATTATTTACAAGCTGTTTTTCGTGTTGTTGTATTATTTTACTGATGTGCAGCCATATTAGCATAATTTTGATGTGTGTTCCCACCACTATTCCCCACCCTCGAAACCAAACGGGGGGTAACATTCAGCAAAGTGGTTTCTAATATGGTGGCCCGATTGGCGGTGAGAAAATGAGCATCCCAAGCCCTGGCAATACGAAGCTAATACTGCGCCAATCCTGAGCCAGCAAAACCAACTGAGGCCCCAAACAGCCAAACAAAAATGAGACCCTTTTCCAAAACAGCTGCCCAAACATATATTCCAGGGTGTGGTGCAGGGAAGATGTTAAAAGTTAATTATGATAAATGTTTAAGGGGTGGAAATACAGAAAGACAGATCTCTGGGTCAGTAACAAGGAATGTTAAACAGATGCTAAAGCAAGTTTAATGCCCACTGAACCAGTACAAAGGAATGCTAAATACTAAACCAAGTTTAGACAGTACTGGGCCAGCTCAAAGGAATGCTCCAACAATTCTAGACCAGTACTAAGCAGAGAGGACAGAAAAGGACCAAAGAGGGCCGAAGAGGAATCCAAATAGAAAAGCCTGGCACATGCGTCTGCCTTTTCTTGAGGGCACCCGTTTTGGGCTGGTTCAAAACAACGACAGGAACACCACCATTTGTGTTTCGTTTGGGGGGGTTTCCCTAAAAAAGACACAGCCACATATCAAAACAGGAGAGTCCTTGATTTGGAGACATGGACATTTGCTAAGCCCTGCTCCGGCTCCGAAAACACTTGGAATGTGACACCTATCTGGGTTGATTCACCAACCCAAAACGACCAAATATCCTTCATTTGTTTTCGGCCACAACCGGCGAACCATTGGATCAAAGCAGGGGCCTACAAACCAACGTTTAGGGCTCTGTAGGGCTGAAGGACAAATAAGCCCTAAGCCCCTGAAAGTTTTGGGTCTTTAGGGTCGGGCGGGGGGGGTTGGAGGGTCCCTGATTCTAGGGGTTGATTCCCCATTATTTTCAGCCATCGTTCTTTTCAACAACCAGATCCATTTCCCCAGGGTTTTGGTGGTTTTCTAGAAAGAAGGATCACTGAAAAGAATGGGGAAGGTCGCCCTGGAAATATGGCCCTCCGGATTGGCAAACTTTGGGGGTCCTCAACCAGTTTGGTTTGTTCAGTTGCCTCCTTTTCACGGGGGATCACCCACAAAAAGGGTAATGGTCCCCGAGCCAGGGAGTCCAGGTACGGGATTTAGTTCAAGTTGCTGGGGGCTTTCTCGTTTTGAGTGCTTGGGTTGAGGAATCAAGCAAAGCTGTCCCAGCTGGTCGTTTGGATACTCAAAATGGTCAAGCCAAAAAAGGGTCCCCTACCCAAAATGGTCAAGCCCCAAAACGGGTTCCCTACTCAAAATGGCCAAGCCCCAAAACGGGTTCCCACCAAACCACCAGTTGGAAGGACGCTGTATACTTTGTGTTTCACCTATTTGTGCGAGGCTGCTAGAAAGAATGGAAACGGAAGCTACCCCTAGAGGTATGATGTCGAACCCTGACTAAGAAAGGTTGTAGTTACTGCCTGGATTCCAGGCACCGAATATGCCCTTCAAAAAATGGAGGTTTGGAATAGGGGGAAGCTACCCCCAGCCGGAGACTGATGCATCGCTGTCGGCCACCAAAAGCCCCGCCGAGTCTCGTCCGTGGTGAGGCTGGCTGCGGCTTCCGTCGCAGAGGCCACAAAGGGAGGAAACAGCCTGAGACGGGCATAGGTGTCCTTTTAGGGAAAATAGATGGGTTTCCCTGGTAGATGAGAAAAAAACACCAGGTAAACCAGGAATCGCCATCTATTTTTCGACCAAAACAACCAAAAAGGACACCTATGAGCCTGAGACATCCTGAGACGGTGCCCACGGCCAACGCATATAGCATGGAACCTGGCGGGGAGGGAGGGGAGGGGGAGGGAGCCAAAAAAAGACCTTAAGCCCTTCTTTAGGGCTTGTTTAGGGCTTGTTTATGGCTTATGTAGGATGTTTTGAAGTGATTTGAAGGTGCGCAAAAATCACACCCTGCATCAACACATACATTGCACACATTCGCATTAAATTACGTCACGTTGCAGTACATTATATTACGTTACATTACAGTACACTACATTACGTTACATGCATTAAACATACATACATTACATTGCATTACATTACGTTGCATTACGTTACATTACGTTACGCTACGTTACATTATGCATTACATTACGTTACATTACATTACATACATTACATACGTACATTGCATACACCATTACATACATTCACACATACATTACATTGCATTACATTACATTACATGCATACATACATTTACATCAGTTCCATTCCATTCCATTCCATTCCACTCAATTCCATTCCATTACATACATACATACATTACATCCATACATTACACACATCACTACATTCGTTACACTACGTTGCATGCATTGCATACATACATCACCTACATTTACATACAATTGCACACATTTACATTGCAATACATACCTGCAAACATGCATTCCATATACAAATACAATTCATTGCATTACATTACATTACATTACATTACATTACGTTACATCTCATTATTACATTACATTACATTACATTACATCACATTACATTACATTGCATTGCATTACATGACATTACATTACATTACATTACATTACCTGTCTGACATTACATTACCTTTCTGACATACATACATTACATACACACATACATACATTACATTACACTACATTAATTTACATTATATTACAGAACATTACATTACATTACAGTACATTACATTACATTAGGTTACATTGCAGTACATACATTACAGTACATACATTACATACGCACATATGTATGTATATTTGTATATACACGTATAGATATTTGTATATACCATCCCTGGTCAATAGCTGTGCAAGCATGGCTTGTTTGAGGGAAACCAGCCACCAAAGAACGTCCATCTGCTCCTATCACCTCCCAAGCACACAACCCCACAAACACACCTCCAGTCTTGGTCTATCTCACTCTCCTAGGCGTAGAGTGTTTGGGGTCCCCCCCTTTGGGGGAAGGTGCAAAGAAGGTTCACATGGAGTATGGGTCATGGGAATGTAAAATCAACCCACTTTACTCCTGCGCCTCACCTCGCCTTGAGGTGAACCAAAGACTCGATCAACTGGCAACTTGGATGAGTATTCTGGGGGTACCTTCCCCATTCTTTCCAGGGATCCTTCTTTTCAGGAAACCATCAAACACTCAGGGAAACACCTGGTTTTTGACAAGAACGATGATTGACAAGAATGGGGAATCAACCCCTACAAGCATAAGGCTCCATTTGGTTTGCCGCAGAGTCCATCTCGTTGCGCTCTCGGCCACATCCCCAAGGTGTCGCTTGCGGCACTGGAGTGAGGCAAGAGCCTTGACCTTGGCCTTTCTGGAGCCAGTCCAAAACTAGGAACGTCTGCGCTGTCAACACTACAAACCAACAAAGACGGTCAACAACTGTATGCATGTATATACAATATACGTACGTACACATGTGTGTATATATATATATATGTATGTGTAACGCTGGTCCAGTGCACACATATGTATCTGAGAAGCATTGAAATGAACAACCTGTATAGAGAAGTCAGTTGTTCACTTGCCCTCGAGTCCTGTAAGCACTGGAAGAGAGGGTTGAACCCACCAAACCAACATCGAAGGTTAGAGTCCCCCATCCTTCTGTTCAAAAACCGACCATGTCCCGTTGAGCCATTTAAGAAAGAACAAATGTCCGCTAAGCAAAATACGCATATTTCTAGTAGTCAGTAGTGATAGATTCCCTTTAAAACCAGTGGAAAATACAACTCTATTAACTTCATCAATGGAAGCCTTGGAAGAGAATCGGACCCCAAAAAAAAAGGTAAAGATGGGGAATTCCCCACCAAGGCAAAACACGTTGCTCACTTGTCCCGAACCTTGCAAGGAGAAAAACCACGGGGGTGACATCCTCACCGACGCTGAAAGACGCTCTCAGCGTCCGGGTCACTCGATGGGCACCCCGTAGCCTACATGGCGCAGGCCCAAAGCCGACAGCTCCTCGACCACCTGACGCGGAGTCATCCGGCCACATCATCCGGCCACTAGTAGAGAGGTTAGAATAAGGGTACCAACTTTTTTGTGTAGTCTATTTTAGTAGCGGAAGCCCAAAAAAGTTTAAAAGGGCACTACTGGGTGACCTAGTCCCTTTCCTTCCCACATCCTGTTTACTCGCGAGCAAAGGGAGCGAGAGGATGTTGAGGAAGGAGGGAAGGGAATGGATGGCTGCATAAATCCGTTCAGCCTTCATGCCTTCACCATTCCGTGTTTTTTTGCCGGAATGACCTCGAACAAGTGCTGCTGAGTTCGATATTTTTGGAGGCTGCAACCCAAAAAAATGAGGGGGGGTTTGTTCAACGACAAGTTTTTGGGCTGCACCCTCCAAACAGGTCGACACAAATTGTGCTCTATGAGCTGGCTATTTTGGGCCTGGCCTCCTATCCAAAGACAAAGACTAACTCCTGCGGTTTGCCCTCGCGCTGTAATCTTGAGCCACACCCATTTTGTCCCCCAAAAAGCCAGCTTTTGTCCGGGGTAGCTAGTTTGATGGTTCGGGTAGCTTCCCGTCCAGGTGTCAAATGGAAGCCCCCCCCCCATTTTACCCTGGAAAATGCGGTGGTGTGGCTGTCCAAGACATCTTCTACTTTTGCCATGAACGATTTTGGCAAAACTTTTGAGGCCTTGCATAGAAGGTCTGAACAAGCATTGTGGATGGACGAACTCCTGCACCTCTTCGAAACCATGGGACACCATTGTTTGTGGGAATTTACAGGGGAATCATCATTCCAGGGATTTAAGTGGTGCCGGATTTCGACCATCCGCAGTATCTATCTTCTATGTGAATATACATACCCGTCCTCTTTTGATTTGCTTGTGGAAAATCAATCAATCAACTTGGGCATGTGGCAAAATAGGGGTACCCCGAAAATGGTTAAGGCTAGATGTGAGTAGTTTTTGATTTCCTAGGCTGGCTTTTTCCTAGCGTCACCTGGACCAGGGCGTCCCCGGTTGGGAGGCAACAGGCGGTATAGCCAATTTTTCTGCTGGGAGCAGTTGGGCAACTTGGCATCCCCAGCATCACCAGCCTCCCTTGGCCCTGGGGTTGTCTCCAGGCTGCTGTTGGGCGGGTTGGGGATTGGCTTGGAGCCTGGAGCTGCTTTGTGCGTGCAGCTTTGCAGGATCCCTCGCGTAGCACCAAGAGCCGTGTCGGCAAACGTTGACAGTTTCCGCGAACAAGTGCGGATCAGGTGTGCCACAAGGGGAGCACGGGTAAAACATCCACATATATGGAGAGGGAGAGAGAGAGAGAGAGAGAGAGAGAGAGAGAGAGGGAGAGGGAGAGGGAGAGAGAGAGAAAGACACAAAGGGAGAAAGCGTCTCCTCATGAAGAAGGGGGGGTGAAATCCATGGAGCCTTTTGTATGCCATTGTATGCCTAGTATGCTAGCCTGTGCCTAGCGCGCGCAGTATGTTGAGTTTTTTCTAGTTTCCAGCACCCGAGGATGTTCGAGCATATGTTTAGCAAGCCTTGCATAGTTCCAGCGTATACCTAGCCTATCCCTAGCAGATATCCACAATATTCCTCGCTAGAGGTTATAGCTCCAACTTTGTAACAGGAACTAATCTTGGCACCTGTTTTCTAGTAGTTGCCTAACATCGCCCTCCATGTAAAGAAGTCCCTTCTAACAGTTGGGACACCATCTGGGTTTTGGTGTGGGTGAAGAATTGCGCGCCAAGAAAGACACCTGTGTGGGCATAGCTCAACAAAACACACAAGCCCCATGGACGTATCAAACCAGACCCGCTCCCAAAAAACCTGCGTTGTGCTTACAAAAGCGATGCTTGTGGAATTCTCTGGTCTCAGAAAACCTGATAATCTCCTGATTCACTGATACCCTATGGAGGGTGTGTGTGTGTGTGTTTTGGCCACCCACCCCAGGGTTGAGCTGGCAGTTGATCACTGCTCCTGTTTCCGGAAAGCGCCACCTTCATGAGAAACAAAGTTTTTTTTTCGCGAGCCTTTCGTGACTCCATCGCCACGCTCTATTGTTTGCAGCGTGCGCTGTGGAGCCGTTGTGGCTGCTGCAGTTATGCCTGCAAACACAGTAGCCGCAGTTCACTTGCGCTGGCCGGCTTGCATGAGCGTGAAATGAAGGCATTTGCTTTTGCCCCTTGCGCTTGCCGGGGATGCGCGGCACCTTGCAATAAGCTCCAGGGGCTTTCGCCGGTTTTTCGCGGATCTTTCGCGAAACTTGCTCCAAAAGAGCCCAGCCAATGATTGGGTTTGCAGCATTCCCAACACTGGCAAGGAACCAAGAATGCAAATTAAAGGTGCTACGCATCTCCCTGTCTACAAGGCAGCGGGGTCTGCACAAACATGCGCCCAAGAACCCAACGCGGAATCTTTCGCGAAAACCATTTTGCTTTCGCAAACTCCATCGTCGATCTTTCGCGGAGGGGCAGACCAATGGTCCCCGAATACATAACTTCTTGCAAAGACCTTTTGAGGGCCAGCCGGTAATTGCAAATGGGTGTTTAGGGCCCCCAAACAAACAGGTTTTGGTTTTCAAGTGTTGGCGTTCCATTAAAACACAAAACGGGGACCCCCAAAATAGATTCGGTGTTCGATTGAATTCAACAGGGGATTCCCCAAAAAGAGGCAACCCCTTGACAGCACTCTATTTGGACTGTGAAGAGAAACGCAAAGGAAACCGACGCCCACGTTTTTTCTTCTATATCCTGTGAGACACACCCAACTGTTTCAACTGTTGGTCCCCTTTAAACCAACCAAAAGGCTAGGCTCCCCAAAACAGCCGAGCCACACTGATTCTCATGCGCTATCACCTCTCTCTGAAAGCAAATGTCGTGCCTTGGACGGGTCGCTGTACATCTCCATGACCATCTCCTGAGGCTCGATACGAAAACGGGGACATGTGACTCACTCGTTTTGGGGTCCCGAATCGATTCCCAGAAGGAAGCCAGAAAACAGAAACCATGGCTCGAACAAACATCTTAACTGGCCAAAAGGAAACCTTCGGGCGGCGGCTTTCCTTTTGATGCCCCTTTCAAAACAAGCAGAAAAGGTTCCCGGAAAAAGACGAGCCATCCGCATTCTCCAAGGAATCCATCACCAGTTCTTCCAACCCAAAGTGAAAGGCTGCTTTGGCCATGGCACATCTTCCCTGAGAACAAGCAAGGCTGCCATCTGAGCAAAGCGGCATTGTTCTTGTCCAGGATGAAGAACAGGCGCGTGGCGGACTGCTTGAAGTAGTCCTGGCACCAGATGTATACATGTATATAAGAGAGGATAGAATAAGGGTACACTTTTTTCTGTAGTCTATTTTAGTAGGGGAACCCTCCCCCAAAAAGGGCCCAAAAAGGGTACAAGGGCACTGCTGCGGAACCTAGTATATTTACACAAACATTTATATGTGTATGTATATGGTGGTTGATCTAAATCCCTTTGTCTCGAAACGGCCATTCTTCGCGAATAGAAAAGTTACTTTCGCGAATCTTTCGCGGATTCATCGCCGTGCTCTTTTCATTTCTCGAGTCAGAGAATCGCAGCTTTTAAGTGCCAGCGTTGTGAGCGAAATATCGATTTCCCAACTCCAGCTGTACAGTCGCAACTTTTCATCACAGGGGTAGTACATGACGTGCGCCGGCTGGAAAGTCGCAGCTTTTCGTCCGCCGTGCAGCTCCAGCTTGAAGTCGCAGCTTTCCAGTACCAAGCTAGTATACTGACTAGGTCGGCGCTCAGACTATACCTCCCCTTGCAATCGAAGCCTGCGCTTTTGCGCGGGCTTTCGCGGATCTTTCGCGGAACTTTCGCGAAAAATCACCCACGTTTCAGCGCGGAAAGCCACCGACTAACACCCACAGACACACATACACAGGCTTGGAGCACTAACCAGCCAAGCAGGGTATCAAACTGTAGCCTCACCAGGCTTTATCAGCGCAACATCAACAAAGTGCTTTAGTCACAATAGAAGGAAGGCTCAGCAGAAAAGATGAACGGTTCCACATATCATTGATTTCCCAGATACAGTTACGCAAAACTTTCGCGAGAAAAAAAGTTACTTTCGCAACTCCATCGCGAATCTTTCGCGGAGCTACCTCAACCAACACCGATGGTCACCGAATACTAAACTCCTTACAAGGACCTCTAGAACGACTCCCATATATATGCATATGGGTGCAGAGCATGATAATCACGTGAAGGATTCCTGTGAAAGGAACCTTTGTCATGTTTAGAACTGTTGTATTGACCTGAATATAGACACCATTGAACCTAGCAGTAGAATCACCTACTGAACGGCCAATGGGATTTCGTTTGCCGCTCAACTGGGTTTCACGGTCTGATGCAATTGGGGCACCATTTCTCGACCGTTTCTGTTACGTATTTGGGTGGGTTCCGAACTGGAAACTAGGTTCCCTGAATAGGTTCCCTTGCCTCCGGGCGCGCTACAAACTCAATCTAGATCCCGTTGTAACTGGTCCATGACTATCCCCCCCAAGCGAAAGAATCGGAAACCCGCAGACTGAAAAAAACAAGTTTGCCGAGATACATCTGCACATTTTGATGAACACCCAGCAGAGGGAGAGTGAAATCGGGTGGTCGACGGAACAAAGAGAATGTGTCAAAGGGGGCCTTGAAAGTGGTCGCCTGTCACTGGTACCCTCCAAAAAAACACTCACAAACAAACACAAACAAACACACACAAACAAACACACACAAACACACACACACACACAGACACACACACACAGACACACACACAGACACACACACAGACACACACAGACACACACAGACACACAGAGACACACAGAGACACACACAGACACACACAGACACACACACAGACACACAGAGACACACAGAGACACACAGAGACACACAGAGACACACACAGAGAGACACACAGAGACACAGAGAGACACACAGAGACACAGAGAGACACAGAGAGACACAGAGAGACACAGAGAGACACAGAAAGACACAGAGACAGAGAGACACACAGAGACACAGAGAGACACAGAGAGACACACAGAGACACACACAGAAACACACAGACACACAGAGACACACACAGACACACACAGACACACACAGACACAGAGAGACACGTGAGACACACAGAGACACAGAGAGACACGGAGAGACACAGAGAGACACAGAGAGACACAGAGAGACACAGAGAGACACAGAGAGACACAGAGAGACAACACAGAGAGACGCAGAGAGACGCAGACACGCACACACGCAGACACGCAGACACGCAGACACGCGCAGACACACGCAGACACACGCAGACACACGCAGACACACGCAGACACACACGCAGACACACACGCAGACACACACGCAGACACACACGCAGACACACACGCAGACACACACACAGACACACACACACGCAGACACACACACACACACAGACACACACACACAGACACACACACACAGAGACACACACAGAGACGCACAGGGACACACAGAGACACACAGAGACACACAGAGACACACAGAGACACACAGAGACACACACAGACACACACAGAGACGCACAGAGACACACAGAGACACACAGAGACACACAGAGACACACAGAGACACACAGAGACACACAGAGACACAAAGAGACACACAGAGACACACAGAGAGACACAGAGAGGCACAGAGAGGCACAGAGAGACACAGAGACAGAGAGACACACAGAGACACAGAGAGACACAGAGAGACACACAGAGACACAGAGAGACACAGAGAGACACAGAGAGACACAGAGAGACACAGAGAGACACAGAGAGACACGCAGACACACGCAGACACACGCAGACACACGCAGACACACACGCAGACACACACACGCAGACACACACGCAAACACACACGCAGACACACACGCAGACACACACACACAGACACACACACACACACAGACACACACACACACAGACACACACACACACAGACACACACACAGACACACACACACACACAGACACACACACACACACAGACACACACACAGACACACACACAC